CACCCCACCCTGGGCCCCTCAGATGCCTCACCCCCCACCCCGGGCCCCTCAGACACCTCACCCCACCCTGGGCCCCTCAGATGCCTCACCCCACCCTGGGCCCCTCAGATACCTCACCCCCCACCCTGGGCCCCTCAGATGCCTCACCCCACCCTGGGCCCCTCAGATGCCTCACCCTACCCTGGGTCCCTCAGACACCTCACCCCCCACCCCGGGCCCCTCAGACGCCTCACCTTACCCTGGGCCCCTCAGATGCCTCACCCCACCCTGGACCCCTCAGATGCCTCACCCTACCCTGGGTCCCTCAGACACCTCACCCCCCACCCCGGGCCCCTCAGACGCCTCACCCTACCCTGGGTCCCTCAGACACCTCACCCCCCACCCTGGGCCCCTCAGACACCTCACCGCCCCCCGGGCCCCTCAGATGCCTCACCCCACCCTGGGCCCTCCGCTCCACTGTCCTCTCTGCCCGCGACCGTTTCCTACCTGCTCTTCCCGTGGTCTCACCCTCTGGTCACTCAGCTCGCAGCGCAGCCATCATCCCAGCGTGGACTTCCCCGACCCCCTGTAAGGAGGCTGCTCACCTTTGTCAAAACGCTCCCTTTCTTCTGTGTAATGCTTACTGCCGTCTGAACTGTCTTTTTTTGCGGTCAAGTCATTGAGGAATAATAGTCATTGGTTATGAATATAGGCAAATGGTGGCACAAACGGTGAGGCGCTCGGCTACTAACCAAAAGGCTGGTGGCTCAAATCTACCCAGAGGTGCCTCGGAAGAAAGGCCTGGCAATTTACTTCCAAAAGGTCACAACAACCGAACCCCATGGAGCAGTTTTACTCTTACACATGTCAGGTCGCCATGGGTCAGAATCAACTCAACAACTGGTTTGTTTTTCTAAATAAGCCCTGGTGTCACAACGGTTAAGCACTTAGCTGCTAACCGAAAGGTTAGAGGTTCAAACCCAGCCAGCAGCTTCACTGGAGAAACGCCTGGCGATCTGCTTCCACGGGGCAGTTCTCCTCTGCCCTGTAGGGTCACTAGGAGTCGGAATTGACTTGACGGCACACAATGACAACAGCCTGGATATGTCAGTGTTACTGGGGTGGGAGCTGTACCCCATATGTGTTGTTCCCCGCTGGGTCCACAAGACTTAATCTGTGCCCAGCACCTAATAAATATTTGGTGCATGAATGAGCGAGTGCACAAACACGTGAATACCTGTATCCTGGAACTTAGCGCCGGGTGCTTTGAGCCCACACGTTTTCCATGATGTTGTATTGCCTCTTCCCAGCTCACCTTGGGGCTAGGCCCCTTATTTTGTGTCTCTGTCCTCGGCGTGCTCACACCTGTCTGTGCTTATTCTAGGTGATTAAGGAAGTTTACAGCGGCTGCAGTGGGCCTGTGGACTCAGAATGCCCTCCTCCGTCAAGTTCCCCTGTGCACAAGGCAGAGCTTGAAAAGGTAAGTGTCTCAGGTGGGTTTCCAAGAGATAGATCCAGTGAGATGTACATGTATATATATATAGAGAGAATGAGATTGATTTATTTCAAGGGATCAGCTCACTGTAGGTTAGGATTAGAACTGTGGGGCTGCAAGTCCAAAACCCATGGGTCAGGTGGCAGGCTGGTGACTCCTGCAAGCTCATGTCCCAAGATCTGTAGGTCATTTGACGAGAAGAGTGCAGAGTGGAGAGAGAGAAAGAGAGACCTGCTAAAATATCTATTTATAGTCTGGAGGTAGACAACATCCTAAGGAAACTCCCGTTTCAACTGATTGATTGATCACATCATGTTAGATTACATTGCACTGCATTACGTTACATTATGGAAGGTCATTACATTACATAACATTACATTATATTACATTATGGAGGGTGATTACATTAAATTACATTGCATTGTATCATATTACATTATGGCAGGTCATTACATTACATTATGGAAAGCAATTACATTACATTATGGAAAGTGATTACATTACATTATATTATATTATGGAAGAGGATTACATTACACTACATTATATTACATCACGTCACATCATATCACATTACAGAACAGCAACTAGTCTAGTGTGTGGCCAAACCAGCACAGCAACTCTCCCGCAGACTCCCCTGGGTGCACGTGGACTGTATCCCTCCTGAGCTCAGTGGTCATTCCGAGCCTCCTCTCTTCCACGGGAGTAACGTGGAATAACGATCGTCATAGGGGAGTCACGATGCTTAGACGAGACGATGGAAAAAAGTGCCTGGCCCCGGACCTGGAATACAGTAGATGCTAAATAAACGCACCTTCCCAAAAGTGTATTCCCAGTCAGCCAAGACTCGTCCCCATCCCGCTCTGCCCTGCTCTCACTCACTTTATTCGTTGGAAGGCAGGATGAGAGACAGCAGGGGGCTGGGGGACAATGATACCCCTTCTAGCCAGAATGTGTGAGGCCATCCCTGTCTTCCCGCGTGCCAGCACTCCCCAGCTGAGCTTCATTTTCTGTGCGTAACTGACCTTGTTTCCTCTGGATCTCTGGCTTCTGCCACGTGGCGTTCTGCGGGGCTTGTATCTGAGGACTTCCCTGAGGCCCCAGTTTAGTCCTTGACAGTGGATACATCCCTTTTGGTCTGTCCTCATCCTGACTGGGGACACAGCAGCCCTGTTGTTGTTTCTTGAATATATGACGGTTTCTGGCTCACTTCAGAAAGTTCAGAACGTCCGTGAGAGTTACTCTTCGGTCCACCAGGAGGAGGCAGCACCACCTAACACTCGGCATTTTTTCAAACAGTTTTTTTTTTTTTTAAGTCCTATATTTCTTTTAAGGAGCTCTGGTGGCACAATGGTTAAGTGCTCGGCTGCTAACCGAAAGGCTGGTGGTTTGAATCTACCCAACAGCTCTGTGGGAGAAAGACCTGGCGATCTGCTCCCGTGAAGATCACAGCCTAGCAAATCCTGTGAGGCAGTTTTACTGTGTCACATGGGGTTGCCATGAGTTCGAATCCACTCCGCGGCACAGAACAACAACAATGTATTTCTTTCACAATTTGCATATTATTCCTAACATTTCTTGTACTGCTTTTTTTTTTTTCCACTTACCTTTGAATTATTAGCACTTTTCCAGGATTTTTGTAACATATTACTTAAGATTCCGAAGAGTAATACAAAAAACCCAAAAAAAAGGCTAATAATACAAAAGTAAGTGAAAAACAAAACAAAATGCTTAGCACCCCTAGGAGGAGGGCCGTGGTGGCTCACTGACAGAATTCTCACCTTCCGTGGGGGACACCCGGATCCCATTCTGTCACGTGCACCTCGTGTGCAGCCGCCCGTCTGTTCGTGGAGGCTTGTGTGTTGCTGGGATGCTGAACAGGTTTCAGCGGAGCTTCCAGGCAAAAATGGATCGGGAAGAAAGGCCCGGAGACCTACTTCCAAAATTCAGCCAGTGAGAACCCTGTGGATCACAACGGTCCGATCCACAACCGATCACAGGGGTGGGGCAGGACAGCGTTCCTTTCTGTTGTGCGCGGGGTCACCATACGTTGGGACCGACTCGACAGCAGCTAATAAAAACTTCTCAGAATCATTTTTGCATTTTCATCAGCTGAATAATCGGAAATTTATAGGGCTATACTATCAACACCCATGGAAGCAGCAGTCAAGAAATCGAAAGATATATTACACTGGGCAAATCTGCTGCAAAAGACCTCTTTAAAGTGTTGAAAAGCAAAGATGGCACCTTGAAGACTAAGGTGCACCTGACCCAAGCCATGGTGTTTTCAATTGCATCATATGCATGAGAAAGCTGGACCGTGAATAAGGAAGACCAGAGTGGAACTGACACCTTTGAATTGTGGTGTTGGCGAAGAATATTGACTATACCACGGACTGCCAAAAAAAAACGAGCAACTCTGTCTTGGAAGAAGTACAACCAGAATGCTCCTTAGAAGCGAGGCTGGCGAGACTTCATCTCACGTACTTTGGGCCTGTTATCAGGAGGGATCAGTCCCTCAGAAGGCCATCATGCTTGGTAAAGTAGAGGGTCAGTGAGAAAGAGGAAGGCCCTCAACGAGATGGATTGACACAGTGGCTGCAACAATGGGCTCAAGCATAACAACTGTGAGGATGGCGCAGGGCTGGGCAGTGTTTCGTTCCTTCGTACATGGGGTCGCTGTGAGTCGGAACCAACTTGACGGCATCTAACAACAACAACAGCAGCTATCACTTGTAAGAAGCCTTGGTGGTGCAGTGGTTAAAGCGCTCGGCTGTTAACCAGAAGGTTGACGGTTTGAACCCACCAGCTGCGCCTCGGGAGAAAGATGTGTCCGTCTGCTTCCATGAAGATTTCAGCCTTGGAAACCCTCTGGGGCACTTCCACTCTGTCCTGCAGGGTCGCTAGGAGTCAGGATGGACCGACGGAACCAGGCAAGATCACGGATACAACTCTTCTTCTCGCCGCCCGCAGCCCCAGCTCTTGTTTTCGTTTTTAAGCCATTTAAACTGAGCTGGCACTCCACATCTTCTGCATACGTCTCTGCTGCCTGCGAGTCGATTCCTAGAAGCTGAATTGCTGGGCCAAAGGACAGAACACTTCTTTAGACGTTTTGATTCGTGTTGCTGAGAAAATCGCTTTCCAAAAGGGAGCCCCCGTTTGATTCCCAGCAGCACACGTTCCTCTTTCCTGGCACTCGGGTTCTGGTGGGGATTCTTCCTTCCTTCCGTTTGGTTTCTGAGCCTCTGCAGACCCCCTGACCATCCACCAGGGTTTCACGGGGTCCCGGCTGGCGTGCCGGGCCGTGCTGACTCTCGGTCACTGTGGCTGGGCCCGTAACAGGCGTCCACTGCCACTGTCCGCCACTGTGGAGTTAGCCCTGACTCGTGGCACCCCCACGCCCAGTCAGCGAAACGCCATCCCCGTCATCGGTTTCCGATGGGACTGATGTGATCCGCAGGGTTTCCACTGGCTGATTTTCAGCGCGTGTTAGTGTAACTTCAGTAAGCCTGGTCTTTCTTTTGGGTGTTTTGATGCTTTGGGGGCCCCCTCCCCAGCTCGCCTCTGTTGCAGCCGATCCCTGACTGTCTCCGAGTAGCTGTGAATTTGACCCATGTTTTCTCTCGCTTTTGCGATGACTCGTAATTGATCTGTGAGACCTCCCCTGGCCCCGCATGGCCCTTGTAAGAACAGAGACATCCTTTTCTCCCGACAGAAGCTGTCTTCAGAGAGGCCGAGCTCCGAGGGGGAGGGCATGGCAGAAAATGGAATCGCCGTGTGCAACGGAAAGGAGCCAGGTGAGTTCTGCGTGGTGCCGACGTCACAAACCAAAAAACACAGTGAAAAATGTGCAGCCGGCTCTGCCAGCTCTGGTGCTGGGAGTTTTCCTTGGTGCAGATTAGCTTCCTCAGATGCCGTCTTTCTGTCTCCCCCTGAGAGGATCCAGAGAAACCCTTGGGGTATCGTGAGCCCCATGTGTCTTCCCGTTCCTCCCTGCCAGACCTCGGCTACGTGTCGGTCTGCTGTCATCTGTACGTGCCCTGCATGTGGTCAAACCTCTGAACCGCAGCCGGCTGCTTCCTGGCTTGACTGGCCGCGGGGCAGACGTGGCACTGGGGGCGGCCAGCGTCTTGTTTAGAGAGCTTGGGATGATGGGCGGACGCCCACGCCCCAGCCCAGCTCTGCTTCGCTCACCACACAGCCTTGGGCAAGTCCTTTCTCTCTTTAACGAGCCTCTGTTTCCCCATCTTTAAAATGAGGAGGCCGCGCTTGCAGATTTCAAAGTCTTTTTTTTTTTTTTAAAGTCAACTTTGTTGTTAGCTGCTATCAGCTCGGCCCCTAACTCTTGGTGACCCCGTGCATCATAGAACAAAATGCTGCTCAGTCCTGGGCCACGCCCATGAATCAGACTGTTGTGATCCACAGGGTTCTCGTTGGCTGGTTTTCGGAAGTAGACTGCCAGGCCTTTCTTCCTAGTCCATCTTAGTCTGGAAACTCCTCTGAAACCTGTTCAGCGCCACAGCAACACGCAAGCCTCCATGGACAGACGGCTGGTGGCTGCACCTGAGGGGCCTTGGCCGGGATAGAAGCAGGGTCTCCCGCGTGGAAGATGAGAGTTCTATCCCTGAGCCATCACTGCTCGTAAGTCAGCTTTACAGAGCTGTGATTCACATTCAGGAAAGTTCGTCCTTTGTGGCTTACAGTCCTGTGAGTCTTGACAGGCGCTAACAGGCATGTCACCACCACCACAACTGAGATGTAGAACATTTCTCTCTCCCCAAAATATCCCCCGTGCCTCTTGGTCGTCCCGTCTACCTTGACCCTCAGCCCCTGGTGACCACAGACGCACGCTCTGTCCCTGAAGTGCTGCCTTTTCCAGAGTTCCTCGTGAGGGATGGGGCCCTGGTGATGCAGTGGTTAAGAGCTTTGCTGCTCACCAAAAGTCAGCAGTTCCAATCCACCAGCCACCAGCCGCTCCTGGGAAACCCTGTGGGGCGGTTCTACTCTGTCCTATAGTACGAGTCAGAATTGACTCGACAGCAGGGGGTTTGGTTTGGTGTTGGTTCTTGTGAGGAAATCACGTTGTGTGGAGACCTGTGAGTCTGGCTTCATCCGCTCGGCACGACGCAGGCGAGCATCAGCCACATGGCTGTCCGTCCGTCCCCCGTTCCTTTCCATTGCTGAGTGGCGCCGCCCTGCACGGGTGGACCTGGAAACATCCGGGTTGTTTCCAGTTTGGGGAGATCGTGACGAAGGTGATCTAGGCACTCACGTACAGGTTCTGGCGTGGCCACACTTTCCCTTCCCTTTGGTAAGTACCCAGGAGTGGGCCGCTGGGCCATGAGCATCCTTGCCAGCCTCCTTTCGTGGGTCTGAGTCATTTTAGTAGGTGAGGAGCTCTGGTCCCTGGGTGGCCCAAATGGTTTGCACTCGACTACTAACCTGCAGTTGGTGGGTCACACCCACCCAGGGGCTCCGTGGAAGAAAGGCCTGGTGATCTGCTTCTGTAAAGATCACAGCCTGGGAAACTTACTGACCACAGTTGTCTTCTGTCCCGTGAGTCCCCATGAGTCAGAACCGACCTGATGGCAGCAGGTTTGGTTTGGTGTTGTTGTTTTTAGGTGCCGTCGAGTCGGTTCCGACACACAGCGACCCCGTGTGCAGCAGAACGAAACACTGCCCGGTCCTGTGCCGCCCTCACAACCATTGTTGTGCTTAAGCCCATTGTTGCAGCCACTGTGCCAGGCCATCTGGTTGAGGGTCTTCCTCTTTTTTGCTGACCCTCTACTTCACCAAGCATGATGTCCTTCTCCAGGGACGGGTCCCTCCTGATAACATGCCCAAAGTACGTGAGATGAAGTCTCACCATCCTCACATCCAAGGAGCATTCTGGCTGTGCTTCTTCCAAGACAGGTTTGTTTGTCCTTCTGGCCGTCCATGGGATCTTCAGTATTCTTTGCCAACACCATAATTCAAAGGCATCAATTCATCTTCAGTCTTCCTTATTCGTTGTCCAGCTTTTGCATGCGTATGAGGCAATTGAAAACACCATGGCTTGGGTGAGGCGCACCTTAGTCCTCAGAGCGACATCTTTGCTTTTTAACTCTTTCAAGAGGTCTTTTGCAGCAGATGTGCCCAGTGCAATATGTCGTTTGATTTCTTGACTGCTGCTTTCATGGACATTGATTGTGGATCCGAGTACAATGAAATCAGAACCGTAATTAGATACCGTTGCTTTGGTAGTGGTGTGCAATTACGGTTTTGATTTCCATTTCCCTCATGATTTATGATGTTGACAATTTTTCATGAGCTTACTTTCCCTCTGTTTATCTTCTTTGGTGAAATGTCTTTTCAAATCTTTGTCCATATATTTATTGGATTCTTGTTTTTATTACTTGCATTTTGAGAATTCCTTATGTATTTGGAAAATAAGTCCTTTACCGAGTGTGTTTGCAAATATTTTCCCCCAGTCCGTGGCGGGACGTTTAATGTCTTAAACAGTGTGTGAACGGGGAGGAGGGGGGTGCTTTGTGGGGAGAGGAGGGATTTCTGCCTCTGCAAAGCCCAAATGCCCCACGGTTATGGGACCTGGGACCTCAGCTTCTCGCAGGCGTCTTCTGGCCGGCCCGGCGGCCCTGCCTTTTATCGCTAGAGTGGAGCCCGCATCTCATGCCTGTGGAATGAAGTCTCCTTACGCCAAATAGCAATCTCAGAGCTCAGTTTATCTGGGCTCTTCTGCTATTACATGTTCGCTCTCACGGGTCACGGCCGCCCTTTCTCCATAGAGTTTCCTGCCTTGGTTCTTGCTGTGTGTAGTTTTAGTTACGCCCTCCGGAAGGCCCTCGGTGGAAAGTATCATCTTGTCCACCACAGGCACGATCTGTGTAATCAGCGGCAGGAAAGCTATCTTCCAGCCTCACCCTGGAATAAAAGCGCCATCTCGGTATCCCTGGCTCGGGAGGCCTGCTTTCCTGTTTATCATTTCTTCTGCCAGTGTCCACACATGAAATTAAGTTCTGCAGAGCAGTAATGACATACGTCTGGATGTACATGTGACCAACCAGCTCTGTGTTTAAAATTGTCCTGCTTCTTTGCGCTTATCACTTTTAACAAGAGCAATCTTTTATACTGTTCTGGATTGAATTGTGTCCCACAAAAATAGGTGTTGTGAATCCTAACCCCTATATCTGTGGTTGGAGCCCTGGTGGCGAAGTGATTAAGAGCTCGACTGCTAACCAAAAGGTCAGCAGTTTGAATCCACCAGCTGCTCCTTGGAAACCCTATGGGGCAGTTCTTCTCTCTCCTGTAGGGTCGCTATGAGTCGGAATCAACTAGTCAGCAATGGTTTTTTTATCCCTGTGGTTATAATCTCATTTGGAAGTGGGGTTTTCTTTGTTATGTTAACAAGGCATTATTGGTATAGGATGTGTCTCGAGTCAATCTCTTTTTAGATAGAAAAGGAGAAGATTAGGCAAGCGGAGACGGGGAAAGAGAGACGCCACACAAGAGAGCTCCAAGGAACCAGGGAACCGAAGCTGAAAACAGACAAGGCCCTTCCTCCAGAGCCGACAGAGACAGAAGGCATTCCCCTAGAGCCTGCACCCTGAGTTTGGACTTCCAGCCTCCTAGACTGTGAGGAATGAATTTCTGTTTGCGTAAGCCCCCTGTCACCATGTGTGCTGCTTCTGTGACAGCAGCAGCAGATAACTGAGACGGACGCTTTGAGCGAAAAAGGTGAGCGTCCTAGTCTCAGACAGCTGCTGTAACACAAGTACCGCAAGTGGGTGGCTCTGAAGGATAGAAACTGGTTTTCTCACAGTTCAAGAGAGTCAAAGTCCAGATTAGGGTGTTGGCCGTGTGGAATCCTTCATTCTCGGGGCCCCGGGCGTTCCTTGGTCCCTTGGCTGGTAGACAACGCTCACATGGCATCTGTCTTCCCACGAGCTTGCATCTGTGTCTATGCTGACCTTTCTGTAACTCAGACGCGATTTGGTTTAGGGTACTTCTTGCACTGGTATGACCTCTAATGATTGATTGATTACGTTACCTGAGATTGGATGGTGGAAGGTAATTACACTGCGTCCGATTAGATCACGTCCACAGGTATAGGGGTTAGGATTCCGACACATGTTTGGAGGGAGGGACGTAATTCAACCCATAACAGTGCTCTTAGGTTGTGTGCTGGGTGCTGTCAAGTCAGTTCAGACTTATGATGACCCCATGTGTGCCAGAGTAGAACTACCCTCCACAGGGTTTTCAATGGCTGAGTTTTCAGAAGTAGATCGCCAGGCGTTTCTTCTGAGACACCTCTGGGTGGACTTGAACCTCCAACTTTCTGGTTAGCAGCTGAGCATGTGAACTGTTTGTCCCGCCCAGAGACTCCTGCCACCTGCTCTGTTGCTTGTTAGCAGGTACTGGTGATTCGATTTCAACCCATAACAACCCCATGTGACAGAGGAGAACTGCCCCATAGGGTTCTCTAGGCTGTAATCTTTATGGGAGCAGATTGCCAGGTCTTTCTCCTGGGGAGCCGCTGGGTGTGTTCAAACCACCAACCTTTTGGTTAGCAGCCGAGTGCTTAACCATTGCACCACGATGGCGCCAGTGTTGCATAGTGTAGATGCTCATTAGTTACCAGAGGAAGTTAGGGGTGTAGATAAAGTCTAGCCTCCTCCCGCAGCTTTTCTTCTCGCTGCTCACTCGTGACTGATCTGCAGTCAGCTGATCTCAGTAAAGGCTCGGCCATGCTGTGATTCAGATGTATTTCTCTGCAGGCTGCACGGGGAAAATCCTCAATCACATAGCTTTTCCTAAATGCTTAAAACCTCCACTGGGAGAGACAGCTTCTGCCGATGACATATGGACAAAGCCACGGGCAACGATTCTAAACTCTCGTTTCTTCTCTGAAGGCGACCGTGCTTGGTATCTAACCCCCCAGTGCAGCCTGGCTCCTGCGGAATTAGCGTATGCCTACTGACTTGTCAGCTGATGGGAAGAAGGAGGTTCGAGGTCCCGGGGCCCATCTACATGGAAGCTCTGATTGTCGACCGCTATTTCACACATTTAAGATTTAATGATTTGTTACTGGATCTGCTGGCAGACGTTTTTATAAATATTCCGAGGATGTGAATTCCCAGCTCACCCATCAGCCTGAATACAAAGGTGTCTAGATCCCCACGTGTGCAGGGTGATAGGGACCTGATGGTATTTGCGACTTTAAAACGTTCAGAGTGGCTTCCCACCTTAGGGCTCATCTTCCAGCACTATATTGGACAATGCTCTGTTGTGATCCATAGGGTTTTCATTGGCTGATTTTCAGAAGTAGATTGCCAGGCCTTTCTTCCTAGTCTGGTTTAGTCTGGAAGCTTCGTTGAATCCTGTCCACCGTGGGTGACCCATGAAATACCAGTGACAGAGCTTCCAGCATCACAGCAACACGCAAGCGACAAAGCCCCACCTCAGTATGACAGACTGACAGACGGTGGTGGCCATAATTCTATTCCAGGCGCTAAATTCGCCTTTTGTTTAATAAATAACATCAACACGTTCTAAGGGGTTTCTTCCGTAAATTCCTACAGACTGCAAGACTTTTCTTCCAAAAATCCCCTCCCTTCTGGTTTTGCAAAAAAATAAATCAGTGTGTATTGAAGGGAGTAAAGATACTAATTATCCCATTTCTTTGTAGTTTAAAGAGTCCAGCAAGTACTTTCTCAGCAGCAACAGATCTTAGTAGAATTGGAAGCAAATCCAAAAACCCAACCGGTCTCACTCCGTTATTTTGTCATGAGAGGAAGGGCGTTGTCTCCGAGGACGGGTTTTCTCACGGCTCACAACTCTTTCAAAGGCTGTCTGGGTGCCGTCCTAGTCCTCAACCAACAGTGTCTTCTTTTTTAAAAATTATATTGTGTTTTAGGTGAAAGTTTACAGCGCGAATTAGTTTCTCATTCAAAAACGTGTACACAAGTTGTTTGGGGACATGGGTTGTGCCCCCTGCCCTGTGTCAGCACTCTCCCCCTTTCCCTTTCCACCCGGGGTTCCCCATGTCCATTCGTCCAGTTCTCCTGTCCCTTCGTCCAGGCCTTGCCCATTTCGTCTCGTATACTTGAGTGAACTAAGAAGCACATTCTTCACGTGTGTTATGGTTTGTTTTATAGGCCTGTCCATTTTTGGCTGAAAGGTGGACTTTGGGAGTGGCTTCAGTTCTGAGTTAGCAGGGTGTCTGGGGGCCATAGTCTTGGGGGTTCCTCCAGTCTCTGTCAGACCAATAAGTCTGGTCTTGTTTTGTGAATTTGAATTTTTTTTTCTACATTTTTCTCCTGGGAACTTCTGTTGTGATCCCTGTCAGAGCCGTTGGTGGTGGTAGCCAAGCACCATCTATTTCTTCTGGGCTCAGGCTCGTGGAGGCTGTGGTTCATGTGGTCCATTAGTCCTTTGAACTAGTACTTTCCTTGTGTCCTTGGTTTTCTTCATTCTCCTTTGCTCAAAACGTGATGGGACTGATAGATGCATCTTAGATGGCTGCTCACAAGCTTTTAAGACTCCAGATGCTTGTCTTAGGTATCTAGTGCTGCTGTAACAGAAATAGCACAAATGGACGGCTTCAACAAACAGAAGTTTATTCTCTCACATTCTAGTAGGCTAGAAGTCCAAATTCAGGGTGTCAGCTCCAGGGGAAGGCTTTGTCTGTCGGCTCTGGAGGAAGGTCCTTCTCATCAATCTTCCCCTGGACTAGGAGCTTCTCTGCGCAGGAACCCCGGGTCCAAAAGATGTGCTCTGCTCCCGGCGCTGCTTTCTTGGTGGTATGAGGTCCCCCTGTCTCTCTGCTTGCTTCTCTCTTTTATATCTCAAAAGACATTGGCTTAAGACACAATCTAATCTTGAAGACCTCATCAATATAACTGCTGATAATCCATCTCATTAACATCACAATGATAGGATTTACAACACACAGGAAAATCACACCAGATGACAAAATGGTGGGCAATCTCACAGTACTGGGAATCATGGCCTAACCAAGTTGGCACATATTTTGGGGGGACACAATTCAATCCATGACAATGCTACTCAGCAAAGTAGAATGTAGAACATTTACTTTTATGAACTATGTTATGCCGATTGACATAGATGTCCCTCGAGACCATGGTCTCTGCCCTCAGTCCCAGTAACTTGGTCCCTCAAGGTGTTTGGATGTGTCTGTGAAGCTTCTATGACTTTGCCTTGGTCAAGCAGTGCTGCATTCCCCTATATTATGTTTTGTCCTTCCCGTCACCAAAGTTGACACTTGTCTACTGTCTGGTTAGTGATTTTCCCTCCCCATCCCTCTCCTTCCTTGTAACCATCAAGATTTTTTTTCTGTGTAAACTTTTCCCTGAGTTTTTGTAATAGTGGTCTCATACAATATTTGTCCTTTTATGATCAACTTATTTCACTCAGCATAATGCCGTCCAGATTTATCCATATTGTGAGATGTTTCGAGGGTTCATCATTGTTCTTTATCATTGCATAGTACTCCATTGTGTGTATGTACCATAATTTGTTTATCCGTCCATCTGTTGATGGGCACTTAGGTTGTTTCCATCTTTTTGCTATTGTGAATAAAGCTGCAATGAACATGGGTGTGTATACAGCTATTCCTGTGAAGGCTCTTATTTCTCTAGGCTGTATTCCCAGGAGAGGGATTGCTGGATCGTATGGTATTTCCATTTCTGGCTTTTTAAGGAAGCGCCGTATCGTTTCCCACAGTGGTTGTACCATTTTACATTCCCACCAGCAGTGCATAAGAGTTCCTTCTCCCTGCAACCTCTCCAACATTTGTTGCTTTCTGTTTTTTTGATTAGTGCCAGTAATGTTGGGGTGATTCTTTTTTTTTTTAAATGAGATTTTATTGTTGTTGTTGAGAATACTGTATTTTTGTGCAAACAACACATGCCTTCTATGTTTGTTTACCAACCATACCCTCCCCCCATGAGGTATTTTCATAAGCGTGCTATGCAAATTTTTTATGTGTTGCGTGTGTGTGTGTGCATGTGTGCTTGTGTATGTGTGCCATGTGTGTGGTGTACATTTGTGTATATGCACGTGGGCGTGTGTGTGTGTGTGTGTGTGTGTGTGTATGTGTGTGTGTGCAAGTGTTCCCAGCCTGCTCCCTGTGGGCAGCCCTGCCTCTGCTGTGACCCTCTCTCCTAGTGTGTGTGTGTGTGTGTGTGTGTGCATGTGTGTGTGCGTGTGTGTGTGTGTGTGTGTGTGTGTGTGTGTTTCCAGCCTGCTCCAGAGTGGAGGCTCCCTGTGGGCAGCCCTGCTTTCTGCTGTGACCCCCTCTCCTAGTGTGTGTGTGCGTGTGTGTGTGCGTGCGTGTGTGTGTGTGTTCCCAGCCCGCTCCAGAGTGGAGGCTCCCTGTGGGCAGCCCTGCCTCTGCTGTGACCCCCTCTCCTAGCATGTCTCTGGCCGCAGCTGGCATGTAACCGGCTCAGTAAGCACATGCTTGGGAAAAAGGAATTTGTTGTGACTTTATGTTTTATTTTTATCTTTTTCCAACTGAAGTTTAAAACCTGCTGATTTTGTTTCTCCTGTTGTTATTCTTGGTAGTTAAGAGGAAAAAGAACTCCAAAGCAGAGGCCAAGGGCTCTGTTTCTAAAGTCACTGGGAAGAAAATCACCAAGATCATCGGTCTGGGGAAGAAGAAGCCGTCCACTGACGAGCAGACCTCGTCGGCCGAGGAGGACGTCCCCACCTGCGGTAAGACGGCCGTTGGCCAGCTGGGTCTTGCTCGCCCGGCACCTCCCTTCTCCCCTTGTGCCAAGTTTACCCATGTTTCCTAATGTGGGCCCTTTTGAATTGGATTTGTGATCACTTGAATTGTGGGAAGTGTATTAAATGTTTGCATTTTTATTGGTTCTTAATGAAAGACTTTGTAGGGGGTTGGGATGATCTCTGAGGTTCCTTCAGGGTACAAACTTCTGTCTAATCCCGTGAGGGTCTCCCAAACTCCCGTATTTGTTGTTGGGTGCCGCGGAGCCTATTTGTCATGGTGACTGATTATGACAGAGTAGAGCTGCCCGTAGGGTTTCCTAGGCCGTAATCTTCACTGGAGCAGATCACCATGTCCTTTCTCCCGCGGAGCTGCTGGGCGGGTTCAAACCTCTAACCGTTGGGTTAGCTGCCGAGTATTTAACGTTTGTGACGCCAGGGCTCCTTAACCTCCTTTAAGTGACGCTAAACTAGGACGTATACCGTGCCATTGCTGAACGGGAGAGGGGACATAAATTTCGGAGAAACACTGTGGAACTGGGGCCAGCTCTTTCCTGGCTGCAGCGACACCATGAACCTTTCTCACGACACTGCGTTTCTCCACCACCGGGCTCGCATCCCAGCCGGCTAACCTTCTCCACCACCGGGCTCGCATCCCAGCCGGCTAACCTTCTCCACCACCGGGCTCGCA